TACACAAAGTTGAAAAGCACTGTGCAATGGCCATAACTCTGTAAACAATGATCATGAATTTAAGACACCAATATACAAACTCATATAAGATCATGACCAGTAACATCAGTGTGTAAAGTTTCAATTTTCTGACTTTAAACAGTTTTTGAAACATTTGTCCCCATCGAGTGAGTGAGTGAGTTGGGTTTAACGCCGCTTTTAACATTATTCCAGTTATATCACGGCGTGTCAGCTTAATGTGGGAGGAAAGCCCGAAGTGATGCAGGTCTAAGACGTTTACCACTTCGGTGAAACCCACGAGCACGGGTATGGTGCTGACAGACTTAGAAACATAACTGGGGCGAACCGGGATTCGAACCCACAATCATAGGTTTCTGGCGTGGCCAAGGGACTCAACTCTGCACAGTGAATCACGGCGCCTTAGACGACTGGGCCACCCGTGCCCCCACTTCCACAGGAGATATAGCTTGTCTGTGAACAAACGATATCTCAAAGAGAATCTACCAGAGTTCTTTCTTTACCACCTACTGGTCAGTTGACATAGGCCTTCAGGTTAAAATATTGAAATCTTACTCTTGTGATTCTGCTATAGCCTACATTTTTCCTAAAAACATATTTCTATTTATTTTATTCCAATACTGCCACAAAATAACAGCAAATACTGAACTCGTTAGTGAGGATGTGATCGAGTGCAAGGCCACAACATTCTATACCTGTGATGTCATAGTATAATAACGTATACATAAATACAACATTGTTCACTTACTACAACAATGGCAACACTGCACTTGGTACACTTCGGGGCAAAGTACAGCTCGTAGTCTCGCTCGCAGTAGAGGTAGCCGTCCTCCCTTAGACGAGAAGCGGATGGATGGACAAACTCCATCCCTATTAGATAGAGAGGGGCAGGGGAAAGAGAGTCTGGCCACGCCGTGGGGAACATTATTCGGATGCTTGTGTTGTTGAGAGAGACTCGTGGGGTGGTCCGAGCATCATGGTGTGGGGTGGAATTGTTCTTGCACAGAGGGTCGGCCCTGTGGTCTTCCAGAACATCGGTCCAGGGAGAGGCAATGGTGTCACAGCAGCTCTGTACGTTGATCAAGTCTTGAGACCACACGCCATACCTCATTTGGCACGTCGCCGCAACCAGTTTCAGCATGATAACGCCCGTGCCCACACTGCGAGAGCAACAAGAGACTTCCTCCAGCAGAATGGCATCAGAATCATGCAGTGGCCTGCCCTCAGTCCTGATTTAAATCCCATTGAGCACTTGTGGGGCGAGATTCAAAGACGGCTGAATGACGTCCGACCAAGGCCGACAACTGCAGCTGAACTGCGTCAGTGTGGGCTCAAGTGCCTATGGCCTTCATCAACCGTCTCATCCGTTCCATGTATCAACGTTGCACGGCAGTCATCAATGCAAATGGTGGACACACGAGATACTGACTTTTGACGCCATTTTCTCAGAGCCTAGTGTTGTGTTTCACTTTAAGAACATTTGACACTTTAATTTCAACCTTGATGATCAGTTTTGGCAAGTTTCGTCTTTTTAATATGTCTCAAAGTGTGTTTGCAGTGTTTGGACAAATAAGGTTTCTCATATATCTATCCATGATGACGTTTCTGTTGGGGTTCAGTATATAATATGGCTGGTCTGTGTGTGTGGGTTTGCGGTACACTGATGTTCTTAGTCCATCATCTGTGATTTGGAGGGACACGTCAAGGAAAGGAAGATGTCGATTTGTTTCGGCCTCCATGGTGAACTGGATTCTCTGGTGCTGGGCGTTGAGATGTTGAGGAGCTCTGTGGGGTCGTACAAGTAGACTTTGGGCTTCGTCTGGCTTGGCGTACGAGAGCACGATCTTCCCTGTCATTGATTTTTTTCTGGGACTTCCAGACCTCGGTGCATCCTTCACTTCACCGGAAGCAGTATGCTTCCGTATTAGCCTGCTGATGACTTTGTGATCAATGTTCAGTTGTTCAGCACGACATGACATACCAGTCTGGTGCATAAAAATAATTTGCCATCTTTGGTTCCGGGACACTGGACGCTTTGGCATTTCACTGGTTGGCCAAAATAAAGCTAAATTAATGCCTAAAACCAAATTTTAGCTGTGTCTGCCAACATAACATACGCCAAAAGAGGCTATGTGCATACTGCAGTTTTAGTAAACCGACCCCTGGTACAAGCATGCTCAACGAAAGCATGCACGTGCAGCTCGGAAAAGGGTGTGTTTGTGATATTATGTTCACAGATGGTGTAGTATATGAAATATGTACTTGTAGTTTAAAAAACCGAAAATTATATTTTCTACTTTTACTTTAAAATGTGTGGTGCGATATTTATGACGAGGTGTATATATACCTGATACCCTGCAACTGTGGCCACCAGTACATTGGAGAAACCCTTAGACCCCTCAACACAAGACTCAAAGAACATCGGACCTCTGTTAGCAAACTCGACCAGAAATCCGCTATTTCCGAACACATCCTGAAGAACATAAACCATAACATCATGTGGGAAGCCACCATAGTCATGTCTACCAACAACAACAACTGGCGACAAAGGAAACTACAAGAAGCCATTGACATCAGGAGACACCAGCCAGCCATGAACCGTGACCAGGGAACCATCTGCCTAACGCATGGGATTTATTGCTTTGATCTTTGTCGGGGCAAAATGCCTAGCTGGCTTCAATTTGCCCCTTGCTATGTCCATTCTTACACCTATAAGTGTTCCTCATAATAAAGAAGTTGACATCCATATATTCTCTTCCTTATGTGAATCACTTCTAAATGCCTTTCAAAGACCTGGGGAATCTCCTCGTCCAAAAAACTATCTGCGACAGCATCCTCCTCGACTGTTAGAGATGTTATGGTGGCTAGGGTAGGTTGCTTCACCACTGATTTCAGAGTCGGACGGACGCTAGCCTTCGTTGTACGTCTAGGCATTTTTTGACGAGGAAGATCCATGCTGTGTCCTTAGATTTTGATCTGCGATCTACGTTCCTCTTATGGCATTTCTTTAGGTATTCGTTGAAAGGAGAAAGGTATGAACATTCTTTCTATCGGAACGTAGGTTTGCAGACTCCCCGACAGTCACAACATGAAATGTGTGGATCCACCGCAGGCGGGACGTTTCTGTTGGTCCTTGCCCATTTGGTGTAAGAAGTGCCCCAAACTCCCGTAGAATTTTGAGAAAAAAAAGGCCTAAAATATTCTCTCAAGGAATAAGTAGGTGTCCACAGTGAGGCGAAGATAAAGAGAATGATGAGGCAGAGAGGGCCAGGTGATCAGCACACGTGCGGCAAGCTGCACGAGATTCGCGTGCAAGACCTGATTGACAGGGTGGTCGCCATAGTGATGCAAAGGGTGTTTGGGCGAATGAAGCTTAGAAGCTGGAAACTTTGTTTTGGGATGTTTCCACACAAGGATCTGAAGAAGGATTAGATGCATAGAGTGAAACAAGATAAGTTTAAATATTGTTATTTTCTCTTAACGTTCGTTGTTTACTGGTGTAACCGTTCAAAATGGAGGGTGTAATTCAGAACTCCCGTTCAGCGATTCCATACCGAGATCATGAACTAATTCAATAATGATTTGGTGCCCCAGTGTTGAACTGTGTGATCCTCACGCAGAAGATCTGAGTACGAAGTAAAAGGGTTACGATATCACTCAAATCTGATTAAAAGGTGTAACTTATTCTGCTTACATGTTTTAAGGTCGCAAAGCATTTTCGGTATGACATTAATGTCACAACCCTCATTGACTGATGCGCACCAACAATGACGGTGGATGGATGGAACTTTCGAAAACTAACATCAATTCATTATGGATCCCAATGAGCAATAGATCCTTCACTTTATTGAAAAATTCCTTCGTTTTATTGAAATACTCACGTAAAACCCCTTCGCTTTACTGAAATACTCCAGTGGGATTTAACATGTTATACTGTTGTTAATGATCTCGGTAGATCGTGGAAATATTGGACGCAGCGCCAGTAAAATATGACGGTCGGGTCAAGTCGGGACAGCTTTTTGGTTTGGAAACCTTCTCAAATCCAGCTGACCTTCCATGTTTTTTGCTTATTGTAGATGCCCTAGGCTAACATCTAGTCTCTGAAATGAACATATTTTACAGAGAGAAAAAGTTCTTAAATTATTTTAATAAAAAGGAATCCAGGGTATCTCTTCATTTTCAGATACTACGGTAATCTAGACTTGCCCACTATACTAGACTTGCATGGGCTGCATTGGATATATTTGTTTCAGGGTCTGTATGACAGACTATTAATGCCTGATGAACATTGTAGTGTACACGACCTAAAGTCTCCACATCATACTGTCATTGCCAACTGAAAGAAATCAACACAAATAATAAATGAACATCGAAGACGTGTAACGATAGAGTGGGGTCGCGCTACGATTCGCATCCCGACAATATGGATGCGATACCATTCGTATCCCGATCAAGTACTTATATTTCATACGTTGATATTTTTTCTTTTTGTGGTTGAATCACAAATCTGAACCATTTGGGCTTTTTTAAATTCCAGAAATCGAAGATGGGATATTTTGGGGCGAAACAGGGCGTGAAGGTTATGCTTCTTATAGCCAACCGGGAAATACAAGAGAATCTGTCAGCTGGTTGTTGAACAGTTTGTTATTGTTCATGTTTTACACCAATATAAGTTTATCTAGTCCAGGGCCCCGTTCCACAAAACGATCTTCCTGCTATAGGACTATCATAAGCCAATGTGAAAAGGCCAGTAGATCGAGTTACACCTTACAGAAGGAACATGACAGTTAAATGGAGCATGGTTTTCATTGGTTCATATATGTGTTAATATATGTGTGACCTTCCATAGGAGTTCACGTGCATATGTAATAAGCTAAATATATGTCGGTGGTTTTCATTGGTTAATGTGAGTGACCTATCATCAGAGGTCACTTGCATGTGTAATCAGCAGAATAATACGCTACATAATCTCACATATATATATGAGAGCTGAATATGTTGGATAAGTTTTTGTTCTATACTTTAGGTGTTTATTCCAAGTTACCACCTTGTTATTGTAACCAGATATCCACACCATTCTTGGATTCTAAAGTAATGCATTTATTAAAACAGTTAGCCTATAGCCTTCACCTTCATCGAGCACGGCGGGATAACTGGTTGCAGTTATCGTTCGCGTAGCAAGACATTTTGAATGCTTTTAACCGTTTAGGTAGACAGGAGCCCAGTCTTATCGCTGGAAGCACATGCGTCTCTCGTGCTAAGCTGCAAATCACATTTCTAGCGTAGCACCAAGACACTTTCGCGTCTAAAGAGTTAGATTCGTTTTGTTGTATGTTGCATGCTGTTCCTGTTTGTTACTGTAACTTATTTTGCATACTATTATTCTTTTCAGCAACTGTTTTCTGCGTTTTTTCTCTCGTTTCAGGTCAGGACACGTTACATCGACAACGTTTACCAGCAGTAATGGCGGTAAGAATTGTACCAGTATTAACTATATGCAGTGTTAATGTACAGTTATATGGTTTACTTATATCCTATTCTCACTTCCTCGCAAAGGAATTTAACTATGTTCAGACTCATGTGTAGTAGTATTTCATGTTCATTGCGTTACTTGGCAGGCGCACGTGACAGGTGGCGCCCAAAAGACATGGCGGCTACAAAACGTTTACTATTATTAAATAACTACATATTTCAGATGTTATTCGCATTTTTATTAGGTGTGTTCTGGTGAAATTACAATTTGCAAACATTTGGTGTGTTTTTTGTCATATCAGGCAAAAATGGGGTTTATGAATGTCAAATGTATCTTTTTGTTTCATGTCATGAAATTAGGTCATTAGGCCTATGGATAGATCTATAGGCTAAAGGCCTCCATTAACCTAAGCTTGTCATGCCAATTTAAGCGACTTAGTGAACCGGGAAGTCCGGATGAATCATGATACAATACTTATTGCCATGTTTCATTCACCATATGATACAAATCACATTATATAATTTGTGTGAATTCTTCATGTTCCATACCACCCAACTAACAACAAAATGTTCATGTCAAATGGTTTGTGTGATTGGTTAATTTATTCCTACAGTATCATAGTATAACTGACATTAAATGGAAATAAAGCTTGGTGTATCATGTGGGTCATATTGTCCTGTAGCAATTTGAAATACATCGGTGAAATGAGACAACCATAGTGGTCTTGGTTAGTTATTTGGTTTATATGCAGGGATGTGAAATCTCCGCGGAAACGCGGAAAATCGCGTTTTTTAAAACAGTAGTCCTCGGGAAAAATCATCTTCCGCGTAAAAATTTAATAAATTTTTTAAAAAACCACTCCGAAAAATATGATCGAAAACCGGACAATTGGCGCGGATTGTCCTGTTTTCGATCAGAGCTTTCACCAGCATAGGTTTTCGGACATCATACGTTTTCTGTCACGAATACTTGCACTATAACGTGGGGTGTGGCGTCACACAGAATTTGTAAATACTCAGAGTCAGCTGATGGCTTGTTTTTAAGATAAAGTTGTCTTTTAGCCTGTAAGTGAATGAGATGTTTTACAGTTGTTCATGTGATTAGCGAGAAAACTATGAATGTTTCTTCAGCGTCCAAAACCCCATGTCATGGGGATATATGTTGTACTAATGTCTTATGTTTGCAATGGAGTTTTGTTTTTTTCATCAAAAGGTAAGTACAAGGTACGTTTTTTTCAATATGCTTCAACATTGGGAAAGGGTCAGACATTGCACGCTTGTGACAGTTGTCCTTGTGTCTGGGGGATGGGGGTTGAAGTTTATGGCAGTATTGCTCCCAGACCTGGCGGGTAGCCAGGTGCGCGAAAGCTATGCCCAATTTTTTAAAAGTACTGTTTTAACTTCGAAATTTTACTGCATCTGCCATCTTGTTTATTTGACTTATTGACTTTGGGCATTGACTTATTACATTTCTTGGTGTGAATGTTGTCCAAACTGCATGAAATTGCTTAAAATGCAATCAAATGTTTTAAATAAAATTTTCTGGGGGGGGGGGGGGGGGGGGGGCATGCCCCCAGACCCCACTAGACCTTTCCTCTTTTTTCGGGAAAACCTGCTCACATCCCTGTATATGATATCATCAGTACACCAAGCCCTGGGTCTCGTATTGTCAGTCACTGTACTGTCTTGTTTAGACCTAGCTGCAGTCAAAGTATGTGCTGCTAGTATCCGGTTACTGCAGCTAGTCGAGACCACATTTGAATGATAATTATCAAGGATAGGGACTGGCATAGTTCTTGCCCTCTGGTACATAACGCTAGGTTAGAATCTACTCAACTAATGTAGATCTACATGTAGTTACACCTGTTGTGAATATGCAACTGAACATTCACAGCAGATATTTAACACAACTAGTCACTTCTAAAGCTGTCACAAATGAGATGATCCAATTGCCAGAACAAGATAATTTTGTTTAGATTTCCACAAACCTATCTACCTGTGCCATACTTTATTAATTTTCTAAATTTGCCTCAGAGTGGCATTGTCTCAGTTAGCGGACTTCCTACGACACGACCAGAGCTTGGTGGACCAAGTACTCTTTCAGCTGTTTTGACTGGACCATCTCGAGGTAAAGTAACGTTGTTTATTTGCATTCTAACGTAAAACATTTTGCACCATTATTTCTATATTTTTAACCTGTAAATGATTTTCATCCCTCCCTACAAACGGCTTTGCATTACATTAATTTATTTTCCCAAAGTACCTGTAAACAAAAAATACATTCAGATGTAATATTTCATTAAGTTATAGTGGCTTTAGACTGCTGTTGTAACTTTGAAATTGTAATGACAACTCAGACTGCTATGGTTGACTTAAAAAATAGTCTTGGTTCTCAGTCACCACCGCATTTGCAGAACCAAGTCTGCAGAACATTTTGGGGTTTTTTTTCATTAAAAAAACATCACTTCATATTCTGTATCTCTAACACACAACCTCAGCAGTGAAATATTGCCATACTAGGCTAAACCTGATCTAATATAGTGCAAAGTTACTTTTCTGTACATCATGTTACATAAACTGGGTTTTCATAGTCATTTTAAGATGAGTTCACTCACTGTTTTCCCGAAATTAATATAAACAATATTTAATTATATCTTGGATCAAGTTAATATAATAGAAAACAAAGGAGCTACTGTCACAAGCCTAATTATAATCATAATGCTGAGTGTTGCGTTAAGACAAAAACATGACATGGTTAAATTCTGTATATATATATGCATATTTGTCGATTTGCAGATCCTGTATTGGAGACTCTAAATAATTGCAACAGAGCCATGCTTTTCTCTGCTATGATGGATTCAGACCTTTTTAACAGCGGCTTTGTCTCCACAACTCATAGACAACTCCCAGAAATGGAAAGAAAAGTCTTAGACCTAGCTGCAGCTACAGATGTTGTACAAGGCGTTTTCTACTCCATTGCCTTTACACAGGGAAGTCAGATGTTTGTGCGCTATTTTGAAAGTGGATGCTTCTCTGGAATCATGCCATCCATGTCCAGTGTTCTTCAGGAATCGGATTCAACAGTCACTCAACTTTTCCCATATAGGTAATGTTGTTAACTATTAGTAATGTCTGTTTCATTGTTTGTATGTCCTTTAATACAGTTATCATAGTATGGATTCATACCAATTTAATGAAGTCATAAAAGCAGTCTGCAACTTTAGCCAGTAGTTGGAAGCCCAAGAGTAGTACAATTCTGTTTGGTCTATTAAACAGTCCATTTACAACACTACATTCTACTGAAAATGATCCTAAGAGCCGAGTAGTAGTAGTAGTCTCAGCAGTTTTTGACTAGCTCATATAGCATGAGTGTTGCAGCCCTTAATATAAAACATTGATGAATTATGCACATTATATCATTTCTGTACTCAGAATATTCACCAAGCAAGACTTGGACAAGAAAGTTCTACAGCAGAAAAAGGCAGCAGCCTCTCGAAGCAAAAGCCGTGTGAAACAGAATGGGCCTACTCATGGTAATGTATATAGAGAAATATATTGTGCTGTTAGCTCAAAATGGGCTATTGTTTGACAGTTTCCTACATCATGTACATGGTATGGTTGGTTATCAACAATCTGAAATTTCAGTTAAAGCATTTTAAATGGCATGTTGACAATCTTTGATATATTGGAAGCATTTTATTGAGAATTGTAATTTGGTACAAATTCTCAATTCGAATTTAATTCTGGTTCCTTTTTCAGCCAGTTTTCAATTTGTAGTTTATTGTACATATATGTGCAGTAATGATATAAGTTGTGTGGAAACCTTTGTTGCATTTTCTTGTTCACCGAGTAAAACATTTTTGATCGGTATATTTTGAGACTACGAGCCCAAACTTGGTTCTTAACATTATATTTTAGTGTTATTATATGGCATTACTAGACCAAAGAGACTTTTTACTAAACCTGGGCTTCCCACTAGTGGCTAAAGTCTCAGACTTATTGTTCCTAAAATTAACCATATGGCTGCCACTAAGCTTAAAGTCCATAGATAATTGAAAATCCTAAAACACAACCTGTTGGGGTTTTTTTTATCAAAAAGTAGCTAACTGCAATCATGTTCCTTTTGTTTGTTAAATGCTGCATTCACCAATATTGCAACTACCAGTTTATAATGGCAGCTGTAAATAATAAACAAAATAGAAATCCCTCAGTTGCTTACAAATCTGAAATATACATGTATCTATTTGCCACAGGACAGGGCATGTCAACATTCACTTGTGCTGATATTATGTTTATATTTGTCCACAAAAATTCTGAAAACTTTCATTGAAGGAAATAAATAATTTTGGCTCAGTAAATGCATCTGCGACTGAATAAGTACTTGGAGCATATTTGGGTGTCCAAGTATTGAATTCTACATACCAATGCTTGTGTCCTGTAGTCCTTTGCAGTACTGCCCATTAGTTAAGGTATTATAAGTACCAGTAGAAATTTACCCTTTTTAAGGGTTCTACTGTTTGATATCATTATAAGTCTGCTGTATGTTATCATTATAAGGACAAGTGGACTAAAACTGTTAGTTTCCATTGCTGGTATGGCACTCCAATGTGTCAAGTCCTGAGTATTCTGTGGAGTACCTGTATTTAACTCAAAGTATGTTGATATTCATCATGTTCATCTCTTATTATGCACATACCACTACCTTAACAGCAGTTGTATGATTGCATACTTTTGTTTTCAGTTGCGTTTATGCTTTGATTTTCTTTGTGAGTATGTTTATTTTTATTGTGATCATTGTCATAGTTTCTCACATTTAATAATATACCCAGTAGTTTGCTTTTGTCAGTTACATCTTATATCAAACTAATTTCCATATGTTTCATCACTATGTTATGTTTCATTTCTGTTATCTGTAACCACAGTGGACAATACATTATCTACGAAATGTTATTCTCATTTGGTGCCATCTATGTCAAATATTAATGGCATCATCATACACAATCGGTTTTTTTCATTGTTTGTAATTTTCATGGGTTTCTTTCAGCCTTGTGTTTCCTTAAGTATAAACATAATAAAGTATAGTTGGCCATGAATATAATAAGACTTTTTAAAAACTTTTGTAGTTAATCAGAGCAATGTTGTTGTTTTTCAGTACCGAATAGACAACGCTACAGCCAGTATTTCAACAGCAGATACAGTGTATGCAAAGTAGTGTTTGATAAGTTGTCCATGCCAGCGCAGTCTGAAGACATATCCAACAAGCTTCAGGTATCATCTGTAATTTTCCACTGTGTCAAGAAAAATGCAGATGAAAATCACATACGTGACAGGTATTCTTTATATACAACTTACATAGTTACAGTATAAATGTTTTTTTCTTGGCAGTGCCATTATCACTCTCATTTCACAAATGCTAAACTTTCATCATGCATCCTCCTCCTGTTATGAATGTAACCAAATAGGCAATAAACAAAAGTCAGTGTTTGTTTTTAGCTCACCTGACTGATATTATCAAGTTTCATTTACCACAAAGTTTGATTATTTACAAACTGTCCCAATCTTGCTCGCTCACTTCTCCCTTCTTGGGGTGAAACTGTACATGGGTGCATCCATGCATCGTGATTCTTCATGTATCAATACCAGACGATACACTTGATAAAATAAAATACTTGTTAAATGACACCCAGAATGTTTGTCAGTGAAATATCGCGAAATGTGTTGTAATTGAGTTTCAAGTTCACTAATTAAAATAACCGCTGCAAAACATGTCTACAGCCATCTTTACCTTTTTATAGTCAAGAAGTTTCCACATGATTTGACGTAAATATGCACATTGCAATACGTATTGTATCATGATCTTGCTGTTGTGTTTCACTTTTCTCCCTTCACCTATGATAGTAACACATTTATTTGACTATTTTAACAGGCCTCTACACATATTTGGGCTTCATCACCCTGACACGCTTTTGCAAGTTCTAAAGCATCACAGAATCCATGGAAACCACGTTGTAGATGACCCTGTGGACTTCAGCAGCTTGAAAGAAGAAATAAAACCCAAAAGTGTTGAAGAAGAGTTCCACATTTTGTCATCAGTATCAAACTATCACTGGGACAATGACCAGACAGCGAACTACATGCAGTACTTTTCTACATACAATGAAGACACAAGGAAGTACCCTACCTCTTTAAGAAATAAAATCATATTTAACTTCAGAATTGGATGTCAAGAAAAGTATACACAAAGTGTGAAGATGCTTTCTGCTCAACATGCTCAGGGAAACAGTGAAGACTCCACTCACTCATCACAGACTACATCCATGCAGCCTCCACAGAAACGAAGACGAATTGCGAACCGTGTGAGGAGAGTGACACCAGAAAACTTTGCCCTTTCTCTCAACCTATCAGAACACATAGTTACTCCTAATGTTGCTCAACCATCATCGCTGTTTGACAACTTCTCAACACGTCTCATTGAAGGTGGCACTATTCTCTGGCAGTCTCATTCCTTTACCAAGGATGTGTTGATTATAAGTGACTATTGTCCTGAAAGTGGAAAGTTCAAGCCCCAGTCATACTGCAAAGTGACTGCTTCATGAGGAGGAGGATACAACACATGTCCAGTGTTCTTGTTCTGTTTACAAGATGCTGCTAAGCCATGTACACGAAAGTGACATTGAAAATGAGGACACAGAAGAAACATATCTAGACACATCAGGTGTTACATGCATGCATGCCCGATTTGTGAAAGAGTATGTACTGCAAGATTATCACAATCTCTTCAGTTCAGAATTTCAACCTGTGTCTGACAAAGATAAAAAGTTGAGGGATTCAATGTTGGTGCAAAATCAGGAAATAGTGCTGGTTGCAGAATCTCCTCGTGTAACCAAATATTCAGTAAAAGGAAGAAATGAAAGTGTTGAATTTGTTCATGTCAACAATGATAACTGGACTATTTCATGCCAATCAGGACTTTGTTCTGTTGGAAAATCTAAAACTGTAAAGAACTTAGAGGTATCCCAAAGGCTCTGTCCACATTTATTGACAATGAAAGAAAACCAACAACTCTGGATTCCTTCAACATCAACTGAGGAACTGACGAGCCCTTCTTCATCTACATTCACTGTAAAGGTATGTTAAACTGTGCAACAAAACCGTCTTTTGTAAAAGGAACATATAGGTATTGGGTCATGAGTATTCCTCCTGTCCTGGCTTTGTTATCAGCAAAATCAGCCTTCACTCAAAATTGCTGATTTTATCCTTGGAATAGTTTCCTTTTAACATGTTCATAAAACTTGAGATCAGTTTTTATTGTACACTTTTTGTTGTTGCTAATGTTTGCACTTTCATCACCAGTCAAACTTCAATGTCGACACTGGCTTCTGGGACTTTGGATCACTGAGTAAACATATTCCAACTCCTCAGAGTTGCCCAAAATACAGGGAGTAAGTAGTATTTTTATCTCTAATCGCTGTGTTGTGTGAACTATTTGTGTATAGATTTCATATGGTCTGACAACAAAACACTGCAATGGAACTATCTAAATTCTAATGTAAGCTATTGAAGTCAATACTTATTATTCATGTTTCCTAACATTTAAGCATGTCAAGTGCACATTGTTTCCTCCACTGCTCTTTGTTAAAATGTTGTGTATCATATTGTATACTAAGGGATTAGGACATATCTTGTTGGATTTCAGAAATATCCACTTGCATGAAAAATGGTGCTTTCAGCACCAAACAGATGAATCTGGTTTTGTCAGTAATATCTTGCTTTGTCCTGCACTACCAGAAAACTGTTCATGTGGGGTATGTATGAATTTCCAAGCACAGTATTTCCAATTTGCTTTATCGCTGATAAATATAGAGACAGACTTGAATGCTATATATGTATAATCTGATAATGTTATAATGCATCCTAATTTAAGAACTTCAGAAAAATGCTTATTTTAAACCAAACGCTTAATTAAATCCTAATTTGCCTGTCAGGGGCACATAGTTAAGAAACAGCTTAAGAAACTACCTGGCAGTTGGAGGTCATTTTGACCTTTTGTATCCTTATCAAACAGAACTTTGTTACCCAAAAGTCACTCTGACAGCCTTTGCTTTCAGTTCATGTCTGATGTTGTCCAATAACATGATGTTGGCATTTATATATTTTAGAATTTACAGGTCCAATTCAGATGTTACCACTGGTCCTTGTTGCGTTATCAATCATGCACCAAGCTTTAATCTTTTTTTCAGGGCACCTACCATGATGTACAAACACCAGATGGCATTAACCTACTACAGCAGTACAGCACTCAAACAACACTTTACACCAGACTAGCCCCTATTAAGGCAACTGTGTGCTACAGAAAGTGCAGTAATGGCAAATGTTTGCTGTATTATACAGGGGAAGAGGAAGGCATTCACTTTAGGAGCAAAGAAACCGCCATTGTTGATGAACTCTGCCATTGTTGATGAACTCTGTCATTGTTGATGAACTCTGCCATTGTTGATGAACTCTGCCATTGTTGATGAACTCTGCCATTGTTGATGAACTCTGTCATGACTTTTTGTAAAGAAATTACAAGCTTTTCAAGTGACAGTGTCACATTCACTGGTTACTGCAAAGAAATGGATCGTATGTACAAGTCAAGACAATGAATCCAGTTTTATGTCTCAGAGTACATTTAACAACTGTTTTTTCTCCTGGGCAGCAAATATGAAGATTGACTTCAGGAAGATTGGAGATCCATTCTGTATATCTCCCGAAGTACTTGCATGTGATGGAACCCATGTTGGTGTTGTGTTTCGCCATATCCGAGCAACACCAATCGAAAGATCAGAATTAGATGAGGAGATACCTGTTGGTCCCAAACGATTTGACAGAGTGTTCTTGCCTTATTCACAGAACACATGCAAGAGTGAGGTACAGATTGCAAGGATGCATTTAAAACATTTAGCAAAAGCCACACTCCATACAGAACATGAGGATATTTCACAGGATACGATTGATGAAAGAAGTGATGTATTGATTAGAGTAGCATCTCATCAGTGTAAGCAAGTTTTGCAGCACTTTGTGAGTGACAGTTATGATCAACACTTGAAAGAAGCTCTTGCCCCATTATTGAAACTTTTGGGTAGTGATGCCTCTGTCTCAGCAGTCATTCCCCCTCATACATTCCCCCTCATATGTGTGACAAACTCAAAAAAGCATCATATAATATTTTGAACAAATGCCAATTATCACTCAGTTTTAGAGATGTCAAACTTATTCGGCCCAAAATACATCATCTTTTGCAGAGTTCTTACACCTCACAATTTGCAGCTGAAATACATGATTTCATAGCGTACCTAGCAGACTATGCAAAGAACTTACATACACATTTACCTGCTTACCAGGATGCCCATCCCATCCCTAAATCTTACAATCCAGAAAGTGGTGTGGCATATCATTTTACTGAAAGTGGAGAACAGGTTAGAAAACTCCCTATCTACAACATCAAAACTAAAATTTATGATGACCTACCAGCAGCAGATGAAAAATGTAACAAGGACTTCCCTAGAGTCAGCACAAGTGGACACAGTAGTTTGTTTTTCTGGTTTTGTCCCATTCATGGTCATTGTATTGGGTTCCACATAATTCCTGAATGCGAAGGCAGAAAAGATCCATTTGCTTCCATGTTCAGGTACCTGCCTGAACCACCAACACATGTATTTTTTTACTTTGCTTGTTCACTTTCTGAATACTGCTTGAATAGAGAACCTTCATTCTTTAAAGACACTCGATTCTTCCATGATTATTTCCATGGTTGTACGCATGTATGTGGCGACGCTTTCAAGTCTTCAGTGTTTGAAAATGTGGGTGTCATCACTGAAATCTGTGAGCAGTTCAATTCGTTCCTCCAAAATATCAAAGCAACTTCAACTCATTTGAGCCAGAGCAAATTTTGTTTTCTTCTCCTTCTGGTGCAATCCAAATGGAATGAGAGAAAAACTGAAATGTTTAATCAACGATTGCATGTTGCTTTAGATGGTTCAAAGTAAAATGTGATCAATAGTAGTCACTAACATCAAGGTTACATCATACTGATGATGTAGGACTGGCTCTTAGACTGTATATGAAAGTCGCTCAAGCCCAACTTGGTTACTCAGTGCACGAGACGTTTTTCCTCGACACTCTGTTTCAAATCCAACTGACATTTTGTTCTGTAATACTCTGCTGTAGATAAAAAACATATTTTTCAGTTATTTCTATGTTGTCATACTGCTTTCCTTAATCCTTTTCACAAGTAGATTTTTTCTCGAAACGAAATCATAGTCTGGGGTTTTTCGCATTGGTTTTTTCCCCCTTCTTTTCATAAACCATATATGAGCTGGGTTTTTTTTCCACCTGTTTTTCCCCAGTCTCTTTACCACATGTAACAACAATATTTTAAATGGATACAATTCACACTTCTATCATACTCTACTGTAAATATAAATGATACTCATTCAGTAGATGAATGATGTTTTTACTATTATATCTATGTTGTCATACTGCTTTCCTTAAACCTTTTCACAAGTAGATGTTTTCTCAAAAGGAAATCATAGTCTGGGGTTTTTCGCATTGATTTTTTCCCCCTTCTTTTCATAAACAATATATCTAGTCTGTTCAAAGTAGATTCCTGAGCAATCTAGGAAAGGACCCAGGTCGTCTGGGGGGATGATACCTAGATCAGGTCACCAATGTTATCAAGTTTTACATTTTCTACTTTCAAGCTTATCTTTTACAACATTACATTTACGAACTTTGTAATTATTATGAGCTGGGGTTTTTTCCACCTGTTTTTCCCCAGTCTCTTAACCACATGTAACAACAATATTTTAAATGGATACAATTCACACTTCTATCATACTCTACTGTAAATAAATGATACTCATTCAGTAGATGAATGATGTTTTTACTATTATATCTATGTTGTCATACTGCTTTCCTTAAACCTTTCACAATTACGGTATATTTTGTTGTAGTCTGAACAGTGAAATCAGTCATACATAATTTTGTTTATTTTCTTTAATGTTAGTCTTAATAAAAAAGATAAAATTTACAAAATGTGTGTATTGTTTTGTTTAGAACACATATTATCTGTATGTGTACCATAAGTATTCAAAGCAATTCAAGCTTTGCATTCAACAATAATCAATGCTGAATGGATTCCACCAGTGAAATGCTAAAGCATCTTGCAACAATACAGCACAAAAACAACTTAAACAAGTAAAAAGTCAATGAGTTTTAACAACCCTATTTGAACACATATTACCTGTATGTGTACCATAAGTATTCAAAGCAATTCAAGCTTTACATTCAACAATAATCAATGCTGAATGGATTCCACCAGTCAAATGTTAAAGCATCTTGCAACAATACAGCACAAAAACAACTTAAACAAGTAAAAAGTCAATGAGTTTTAACAACCCTATTTGAACACATATTACCTGTATGTGTACCATAAGTATTCAAAGCAATTCAAGCTTTGCATTCAACAATAATCAATGCTGAATGGATTCCACCAGTCAAATGCTAAAGCATCTTGCAACAATACAGCACAAAAACAACTTCAACAACCCCATTTGGATACTGCAGACGTTATGGTTCGCCAACATACCGTTTGGTTGCATCAGGAAGAGCTAGGGTTAGGTTATGTATGTCAAGTCTGATGCCGACACGCTTATTCAACAACCCCATTTGGATACTGCAGACGTTATGGTTCGCCAACATACCATTTGGTTGCATCAGGAAGAGCTAGGGTTAGGTAATGTATGTCAAGTCTGATGCCGACACAGTTATTCAACAACCCCATTTGGATACTGCAGACGTTATGGTTCGCCAACATACCATTTGGTTGCATCAGGAAGAGCTAGGGTTAGGTAATGTATGTCAAGTCTGATGCCGACACGCTTATTCAACAACCCCATTTGGATACTGCAGACGTTATGGTTCACCATCATACCGTTCGGCCGCATCAGGAAGAGCTAGGGTTAGGTAATGTATGTCAAATCTGATGCCGACACAGTTATTCAACAACCCTATTTGGATACTGCAGACGTTATGGTTCGCCAACATACCGTTTGGTCGCATCAGGAAGATCGAGGGTTAAGTTATGTATATGTCAAGTCTGATGCCGACACGCTTATTCAACAACCCCATTTGGATACTGCAGACGTTATGGTTTGCCAACATACCATTTGGTTGCATCAGGAAGAGCTAGGGTTAGGTAATGTATGTCAAGTCTGATGCCGACACGGTTATTCAACAACCCCATTTGGATACTGCAGACGTTATGGTTCGCCAACATACCATTTGGTTGCATCAGGAAGAGCTAGGGTTAGGTAATGTATGTCAAGTCTGATGCCGACACGCTTATTCAACAACCCCATTTGGATACTGCAGACGTTATGGTTCGCCATCATACCGTTCGGCCCCATCAGGAAGAGCTAGGGTTAGGTAATGTATGTCAAGTCTGATGCCGACACGCTTATTCAACAACCCCATTTGGATACTGCAGACGTTATGGTTCGCCAACATACCGTTTGGTTGCATCAGGAAGAGCTAGGGTTAGGTTATGTATGTCAAGTCTGATGCCGACACGCTTATTCAACAACCCCATTTGGATACTGCAGACGTTATGGTTCGCCAACATACCGTTTGGTCGCATCAGGAAGATCGAGGGTTAAGTTATGTATATGTCAAGTCTGATGCCGACACGCTTATTCAACAACCCCATTTGGATACTGCAGACGTTATGGTTTGCCAACATACCATTTGGTTGCATCAGGAAGAGCTAGGGTTAGGTAATGTATGTCAAGTCTGATGCCGACACGCTTATTCAACAACCCCATTTGGATACTGCAGACGTTATGGTTCGCCAACATACCATTTGGTTGCATCAGGAAGAGCTAGGGTTAGGTAATGTATGTCAAGTCTGATGCCGACACGCTTATTCAACAACCCCATTTGGATACTGCAGACGTTATGGTTCACCATCATACCGTTCGGCCGCATCAGGAAGAGCTAGGGTTAGGTAATGTATGTCAAATCTGATGCCGACACAGTTATTCAACAACCTTATTTGGATACTGCAGACTTTATGGTTCGCCAACATACCGTTTGGTCGCATCAGGAAGATCGAGGGTTAAGTTATGTATATGTCAAGTCTGATGCCGACACGCTTATTCAACAACCCCATTTGGATACTGCAGACGTTATGGTTCACCATCATACCGTTCGGCCGCATCAGGAAGAGCTAGGGTTAGGTAATGTATGTCAAATCTGATGCCGACACAGTTATTCAACAACCTTATTTGGATACTGCAGACGTTATGGTTCGCCAACATACCGTTTGGTTGCATCAGGAAGAGCTAGGGTTAGGTTATGTATGTCAAGTCTGATGCCGACACGCTTATTCAACAACCCCATTTGGATACTGCAGACGTTATGGTTCGCCAACATACCGTTTGGTCGCATCAGGAAGATCGAGGGTTAAGTTATGTATATGTCAAGTCTGATGCCGACACGCTTATTCAACAACCCCATTTGGATACTGCAGACGTTATGGTTTGCCAACATACCATTTGGTTGCATCAGGAAGAGCTAGGGTTAGGTAATGTATGTCAAGTCTGATGCCGACACGCTTATTCAACAACCCCATTTGGATACTGCAGACGTTATGGTTCGCCAACATACCATTTGGTTGCATCAGGAAGAGCTAGGGTTAGGTAATGTATGTCAAGTCTGATGCCGACACGCTTATTCAACAACCCCATTTGGATACTGCAGACGTTATGGTTCACCATCATACCGTTCGGCCGCATCAGGAAGAGCTAGGGTTAGGTAATGTATGTCAAATCTGATGCCGACACAGTTATTCAACAACCTTATTTGGATACTGCAGACTTTATGGTTCGCCAACATACCGTTTGGTCGCATCAGGAAGATCGAGGGTTAAGTTATGTATATGTCAAGTCTGATGCCGACACGCTTATTCAACAACCCCATTTGGATACTGCAGACGTTATGGTTCACCATCATACCGTTCGGCCGCATCAGGAAGAGCTAGGGTTAGGTAATGTATGTCAAATCTGATGCCGACACAGTTATTCAACAACCTTATTTGGATACTGCAGACTTTATGGTTCGCCAACATACCGTTTGGTCGCATCAGGAAGATCGAGGGTTAAGTTATGTATATGTCAAGTCTGATGCCGACACGCTTATTCAACAACCCCATTTGGATACTGCAGACGTTATGGTTCACCATCATACCGTTCGGCCGCATCAGGAAGAGCTAGGGTTAGGTAATGTATGTCAAATCTGATGCCGACACAGTTATTCAACAACCTTATTTGGATACTGCAGACTTTATGGTTCGCCAACATACCGTTTGGTCGCATCAGGAAGATCGAGGGTTAAGTTATGTATATGTCAAGTCTGATGCCGACACGCTTATTCAACAACCCCATTTGGATACTGCAGACGTTATGGTTCACCATCATACCGTTCGGCCGCATCAGGAAGAGCTAGGGTTAGGTAATGTATGTCAAATCTGATGCCGACACAGTTATTCAACAACCTTATTTGGATACTGCAGACTTTATGGTTCGCCAACATACCGTTT